AGTTAGAAACGGCTGCGCGGTGTTTTCTTGCCATGTGCGCGGCCGCGCACCTTAGAGGGAACAGTGTTGGAAACTATGGCTGGAAAGGTGAAAATGTTAAGAAGAGTAACTTTATAAGATGAATAGTACATCTATTAAATAAGTTCCTCATTTCTAGCATGCATTTCATGTTTAAATTGAAAAACAGAACACTGTATATGACTTTAAAGGAAAATGAACAATTTATAAACCTACAAATATTCAGCCCCTAAATTTTATTTTAATTCTGAAAGCATAACCCGACTTTTTCTTTATCATCGTTGAATCATATATACAGCTGGTCCGTGCTTAGCAATAAATGATGTATCAACTGTTCAAAGTTACAATGGCACTTAACAAAGACTTATGACCAGTCCTCAAACGTGGGCCATCACAGCATTCTCATGGCTGTGCAGTCAAAATTCAAGTGCTTGGCAAGTGATGTGCTATTATGATGGCCAAAGTGTCCCGCCGTCATGTAATCATCATTTGTGAACTTCCCTACTGGCTTTTAACAAATAGAAAAGCTGGCAGAAAGTCACAAGTGTGATTATATGATGTTGCACTTAATGGCCTCAAATGATTTACTAACAGCTGCAATTAGAAGTTCTGCTGTTAAGTGAGCAAGGTCACATGATTGTTCTCTTTATAGCTATGTCACTTAGCAGTGGAGTTACTGGTCCCAATTATGGTGTCAGGACTGAAAGCCATATTTTCCTTTTTGGACGTTATGCCTGCCACGCTTTATATTATTCTATTATGCATTTTCTATTGTGGGAAAATGCGAGGGGGGATTATATGGAGTAGGATGATATGTAACCATAACAAAATTCTTTCTAGGAAGTCAAGGTCATCCCTTGTCTCTATATCTGGCCGGAACTGAGTGGGTGGAAGTTTCCAGCGGGGCAGGGGAAGATTGGACCATGTGATGAACATGTGGGTGTAGGGGCAAGATCTTCAACTTTCAACTGGGTAGGAAAACCTGGAATCTTTGTTCCAACATGGCTCTCTTAATAAATTGGAACTTTGAGGAATCGTGTCAGCCTCTGCTTTGCTGCTTCTTCGGCTGCCATTGAAATGGGGAGGGAGGGCATGGTATTTGGGAGGGGACTGATTGTTGTGCTGGAGGAAGATTCTGGAGTTTCTACTGCCCGTCCTACTGCGCATGCGGAGGTGGTTTCCCGCCAAGGCCAACGGCACTGACATTCCATCTTGGTGATGCCTTTCGAAGTTATCTCGCACCTGAAACTTGGGAGAATTATGATTGGACTGTGCATGGGATGCAAGGGGTGGGGAATGGGTTATTCTATATATCATTTGCTTTTGCGCCTAAATAATCAGACTTCGCTTTGCTACGCTTCTGTTCATTTATAATTAGTAAAAGTACACTTGATTTCTATCAATGGAGTCTTGTGGTTTTCTTTCCTGATTATCCAATGAAGAGGTGCTGACAAATCCTTTGCCTCAGACTCTGACTTACTTTTGGATGCTATTTGGAACCCTGACATATAGTTGTTAACTGAGATCTATCTATATTATCTTACATTTCAGCCAAAAGATTATTAATTGAATAAATGTATTTTGCGACACTAGGCTGATCCTGAATAGCGCAATACATTCTTATGACCCTAACTCATTTGCATTGTATTTATCAAAAGAAAACTATTTTTAAAGGTGAAGATAAAGGTTTCCTTTGTCTTGTTGAGCCTGACTCCAGGGGTGGTGCTCATCGCCATTTCTTAGCTAAGGAAGCCAGTGTTGTCTGAAGACCCTTCTATGATCATGCAACCAGGATTCCACCAAAGTAGTACTTATTTATCTACTTGTATTTGCATGCTTTTGAACTGCTAAGTTAGCAGGTGTTGGAGCAAGTAATGAGAGATCATCCTTTTGTTTGGTGCTCGGATTTCAAACCTGGGCTTTCAGCTATCCAGCTGACAAGCTCAGCATCACAAATAACACTACTCATAATGTAGCCAAAATAGTTTGTCTCAAATACTCCTTAAACAAACATTAAGATGAAATTAATCCACTCACTGTAAAATAATTCTATCAAATGGTTGCCTTGTTACAAAACATACAAATAAAGTTTACATATTATATGATATAAAATAATATCATCATTGATACAATTATATGTTTTCCATTATTTTATATTTATAATAAAAAAGGCTGTGGTTTATAGGCAGATCTGTACATGGTTAGCACTTTCAATGCAAGTTGTTTGAATTCTTGCTCACCTTGTTAAGAATCAGTTTGTTAAGGAATATTATCAGCCGGTCCCGTTCCAGTCTGTCAGTGCACTATAAAAAATATATGGCTTGTTTTTTTAACAGAAAAAGCATGAAAATATGTGATTAAATGCTATCTCAATTTCCTTTAATGCAGGGGTGTCAAACTTAATTTCATTGAGGGCTGCATCAGCCTGGGGTTGACCTCAGGGGCGTGGCTGACTGGGTGAGCATGGCCAGTTTCACGCCACTCCCCATACTGCTGGCACAATTTTTCCTCTTTAAACTGGGTAGACCAGGACAGCACTGCAGGCCAGATCTGACCACAACGTGGGCTGGATCCAGCCTGCAGACCTTGAGTTTGACACCTCTGCTTTAATGCATCATTAGCAACACACTTAAATATCATTATCTTGCAATCTCCAAAGACTGAAAATAATGAAAATACTATGACTTTTGGAAATAACAGCTATGTTTCTACAATAATCACAATAAGGCAAGTCATCAACCCAATTAAAGCTTCTAATCAATGGTTAAAGCAAATCTCAATATCACTCTAGTTAAAGCAAAAATCATTTCCTGGAAAACACATAGATCTGCTTATTTCCTCTGGTACATACCTAGTATCCCATGAATTCTTTTTCCTAGAGAGCATGTGCAAAGTTTCACAGTATGGCCACTAACCAGCTAGAGTCTCATTGTTCTAGCAGTCAGTCAACAGAGTGGTTTGGCCATTCCAGGCAATATATGGGAGGTATGCTACCAAGTCTTTGGAACAAATTGTCATGGGAGGGATTTTTCAACTGTTTTTCTTCCCATTCATTTGTTTATTTGAAGGAGAATGCAGTATAGGTAAACCGATTATATTTAGGATTTCTTATAGCACAACTGACTACAAGGAATCAATTAACTCTATGCATGACCGTTTAAGATAAAATGAATGTTAATCAATTTAGTCTAGTGACACTTCTTTGGTAAATCCCACAATTCATAAATCTTACTAATCCAAATAAGGTTGTGGGAACAGGGATGCTGAATAATGACAAAGCACAAATATAGAGTTCCACAGAACCCTAACTATTAAAACAAGCAAATTCAAATGACAATGACAGTTCTTACTACATACATATGTCTCTTTGCCTGCCTGCATATGTCACATGTCATCCAAAAATGTGATGCCCCAAAACTAGATAGTGTTGAAGTTTCATAAAATATCTTTTAAGGGAGGGATTCAGAACAATGTTATTATGATTATGGCAAAATCTACAAAATGTATCTTCTGACTTGGCTTTATTGACTATAATTCATGATTATCTAACATATTTTAATGCCTTTGAAAACAGGAACAGATACTATAAAAACATCAGTTCTAGTAATGTCTATGCTAGAGGAATTTAGTAAATAATATTGATTTATATTCTCATGAAAAATATTCAAAGACAAATCTTAGCTGCTTGCTAGCCAAATTTGGAGAGAGACATTAATAAATTACATTTACTACCTACTTTTTAAAATTGTGCAATAATTTAGAAAATACTTACTCTTTCCAACATCCCTACAATGTATTTAGTATCACCAAATGGACCTATCTCCTCATAGCATCTACCATATACAATAGCCAGGGCTTGTAAGCAGAGACATTTCATATTTATTTTAGGAGTGAGCAGAAAACGATGATACAACTCATTGAAAAATTCATACCTGTCAAAAAGGATAAAGAATGGTTCAAGACTTAAGTCTTTACATCTTAAAAGCAACTCTTAGTGTTAAGAAAATAACAACTTACGATTTTTTTATTGCTTCACTTTCCTCACTCTCATCTTCTTCTAAAAGCAATCTCAAATAATAATCCCCTATTTTAATTTCTTCTGACAGGCATTCATATTTCACCTTTTACAAAGAGAAAGTAGAGAAGGTTCTAATACAATGTCTATGGATGAGACATGAAACTAATATAAAATCTCAGAATTTTTTTGTACAAAATTGAGGTTGTTTGTAAGAAATATTCTCATATGTATGTATAAAAATATGCCAACCATAAGTAAAGATGAGAGTTCTAATTTATCAGATATGCTCCTATGTCTTTTTTAAAAAAAGTGCACTTTCCATGACTTTCTTTAAACTATACCACAGGGTACTCTGATCTCAAGAGGCAGACAATTTCTAATAAGTGAGGAAGCAACAGAGAAGCTTTACTTTTTGGACCCTGTATATGATATCCCTTATGAATCATAATCATAGTGTATCAGCAGAAGCCACTGGACAATTCCATGGATAACCAGGACTGGAGGCATATGGGGCTTAACTTGATAGGCTAAATTTTCTTACTTTTATTTATATTTATATAAATACTTCCAATGATTATAATTCAAATAGGAATTCTTTTTAAATATAAAGAGCTCTGATTTGTATCTATGTAAATAATTTTAATCAGAATTTTATGTACTAATAGTTTAGAAATGGCAAGATGTTTAGATTCAAAATAATCTAAGTTTCTAATTTCATGGGATAAATATCAGATGAAGACATACTTCAAATTCATGGTGATTCCAGGATATGACATTGGTGCTGCCAAGTTCTCTGTCAATCTGAAATGCCCGCATTTCAGTCTCTAAGGAATCTCTTAATTCTTCCCTTGTTTTGAAATTCCAGATCAAATTGGATCTAGCGTGATCTTGGAGAAATCTATACAAACAGTGTAAGAAACAGATTTATAATGATAATTTTTAAAAATGATAAAGAGGCACAACATTTCTTTCTGAATTTACCGGTAATAAAAGAGATCCCAGTTGCCTTGTATTTTTATCCTTTGCCTTCGTTTTCTCAGTATTACTGGCTTCTGATTGAGGTTCTACAAAATAAAGAATCAAATTATGTCCATAAAATAACTGAACATACAGTGAAATGTGTTCATTCATTTCATGGAAATACAAAGCTTTTCTTTTTTGAAAAGTAGAAGCTTTCTCAAAAATAGGTACCTTTCCCCCCATCTAAAGCAGTAAGGAGGGATAGGCCATCATATCAATATGGATTTTATAAAAGTTAAGAAACGAGGCAAATATGGCCTCAATTTTTTCTGTTTTGCACTACACAGCCTTGATTTACAACCTGTTTGTTTAATGATAGTTTAAACCAACAATGGCCTTAGCAAAAGGCTGATATCTTTGAAGTTATGCTTGTCACACACTCTCCAGTCATGTGATCACAATTCAGATGTTTATCCCAAAGATGCTTTTTCAGAAGGCAACTGTACTTTCTTGTTTTNCAGCTGCTGCACACTGCTGGCTCATATTTAAATGGTTGTCCACTAGGACTCCAAGATCCCTCTCACAGTTACTACTGTTGAGCAAGGTACCACCTCAAGAGTTTGCTCCAATTCAGCTTCAGTTAGTTTCATAATACAAAACTCACAATATGAAAGACAAAATTATTATTTATGTGGAAGCTGGCTCATTAATGATCTCAGAGGAGAACTCCTGAAAGATATTTGAAATTACATTGTATGATGTAAATTGTACACAACTGTAGTAAACAATTTGAATTCAGTTTGAAATACAAGTGATAACTAAAGTACTGATTAGAGTCATGTAACATCTTAGGATGGTCTGTGTCTGAACTAAAACATGCATTTCAGATATTTTTAAAAATCTGTACATATAATTAAACAGGTCCATTGTGAGCACAAATGTGGAGGTGGATGAAAAGAAGTGATGAAAAATATATATCAATGGCTAACAAGAAGTGGTTAAGACTGGTATTCTTCCCTGCAGTGTTCTTGATATGGGTGTGGCATAACCTACCAGTCAACCAGCTAGCCTTTTCTCTGTAGACTCCTATGATATCCTACTGTCCTGCTTCTAAATTTTTGAGGCAATAACAGAAAAAATGCATAATGTTTCAGAACTGTTGGCAGTCCTTTACATTATTACCTTGTCATTCCCTATTTGCCCAAGTATTAGTTTAACTGAAACAACCAAAATCATCCAGGCTCTGACATTATTCTGTTGAAAGAATTTGGCAGAACTTCAAGAATGTAAAGTTTGTTCCAGGTTTGAACCGAAACAATGATTATTTAGAGGACATCTGTGGTCATCTTGGTTGAAGCATTGTCAGCCAGTCTTAATTTCTGGACTGTTCAAGAGGTACCCATGGTGGACATCTTTGCAATAATCCAGTCTTGGGTTTCCAGGACATGGGGCATATGCCTCAGGAAAGGATATAATATGTTTATCTCTTGTAGTTAATAAATGAGCCCTTTTTCTATAATTATTATACTGCAGTTTATTTTTATATTTAGATAGATTGTCCAAACAAAACAAATAATGCACATAAATTTATCTCAGCTGTCATAAATTTACTAAGTGCTATGTTTTCATGATTTACAAAAAACAATATTCTCCAGAAAATTAAAAGAGAATTAGTCATGAATTCTGTTATTATCCATTCATTTATTTTATTGGAAACCAATGTTCCCTCTAATTTTTTTTCAGTGTGAGAAAAAAGTATAGTGTTTGAGCGGCATATTTTCATGCCTAAGCA